TCTTCTGTTAATCTACCAAAAACAGTTCCTGTTCCAAAATCAATGACTTAAACTAATTGAAATTCAACACATTCAGTTACTTTTGTAATATTACATAATATCCATTTTTACAGAGTAACATCTACTTTTACTAATTATACTATGATTAGAAAAAACAATGACAGCTATTCCCATTCTTAACTTTCATTTATTTGATTTAATCAAATAAATTAGTTGAGTTATTCAATTCATAGACATCCATAACAGGATTACGATATTGTATTAATAAAACATAATATATACCCTTTTTGGTTAATTTTTTACATAATCATCCATTATTTGTTTTCTTATTATTTATTTATTAATATTTCATCATCATCTTAAGCACAAGAGATCAGACAAGTTTAGCTTTTATTTAAACTCATACTCATTATATCATTATTATTATGATTTAACGCTTATGAACATTACCAGGAATTATCTTTTCTCCAAAGCTTAATACTGTAATCTCTACTTCCAGATATTATTAAATCATCTTCTGAATTAATTATTATACAACGAATCCAATTTCTGTGTTCTGTTAATTTTTATTAGACACACCACTATTTATTTTCAAAGAGCTTCCAAATTATAATATCATTGTCTAAACTACCAGACACAAACGAATTTGAATTATTCATGAAATTTAAACATCCTACAGTGCCCTTGTGTTCATTAAGTCTTTAGGTAAGCTTGATATCCACTTAATTAAAATCAAATACTTATATAATACCATCCATATACCCATTTATCATAATTGTAGAATCTTAATTAAAACAAACTGAAAAACAATATTCATATTCTTTGATAGAATTGATTACTTGATATTGATTCAAAGCTATTTCTGAAGTTTAGATAACTGGAATCTCACTGCTTGTATGTATCTGATAATAACCCAAGAAGTTCAGGTTTTGATTTAGAATTATGTATATGTCCTTAATGAAAGTTATTCTTAATGCATAAGTTGCAGCCTAATCTAAATTCAGAGCAGGATTGATCTAGATAAGCAAATTAAATGAGTTAATGATTGTGTAT